TGTATGCTTTATTGGTACCCTCCAAATAACTTTCCATTATGGTTAAGACAGTATGGAAGGCACAGCAGGAACCTACAGAATGTCAAACACTGTATCAAAAGATCATAGAAACAGGAGAATACAAAATCAGTCCCACCGCATCATTCAAAATCATGGATGAGCTCATCTACCGTGTTGTCAAACTTACTGCACAAGACCCTGTTTCAAGTCTACATACCAAACAGCTTTCAGTTGCAGTTACTGGAGTGTTACCACCACGATCATGGGATTTTTTTTTGGCTTTAAATATTGGAACAATTAGCACCGTGCGTTGTGAATTTTAGTAAATCAGTTTGGACGCTTGATTTAAATATTCTCCTCCCTGTTTTTGTGCCTTTAGAAAGAAGTTCATATGCAAGCGGGTCGGTCGCATCTTATGTGCAGTCTTCTCATTGCGCAGTCTTTGTAAATACTGTATATAAAAAAACATCATTATATATGATTTTTGATTAAAATATTTTCTACAAGGTATTTAAAGATGATCGTGAAGCTTTTCTTTAAAGTCTGCTTAAGAAACTTCCTGTGTCCCTACTTTCATCTGCAGCAGGCAATATAAAAGTACCTTTCTAAAGCACTTCTCTGCTTCACAGTGACCATGGGCTTCTTTGATGACATTCTCATCCCACCAGAGTCACTTCAGCAGCCTGCAAAATTGTATCCTGACATACGTTTCTGTGAATTACATAAAGTGCAGGTTTGTTTCCAAATCCCTGTTATTATAATCAAAATGATGTTTAGGTTATTTTCTTAGCTTAAGTGAAGCCTTCCTTAGTTGCCACTTCAGTGATGAAGCCGAGCAAGTTTGGCTTTGGGAGTATGAGACCGATGAGGGTGCCCATGACCTCTACATGGACCAAGGAGAGGAGATCCGTTTCAGGGTGACAGATGAAGTCTTTGTGGATACGTCACCAACAGGCCCGGCCACTGCCGCCTCTGATACGGCGGCACAACCGGGACAGTCAACGGCACCACCGAAAGAAGACGGCGGGGAGAAGAAAGAGGCACCATATACGCTGATTGTAAGAAAATACACTTTCTTATCGTCTTCATTAAACATCATAAAGCTGTGTTTTACTACCGCAATCAGTTTTAAATCAAAAGTCAGATGTGACTGAAGTGCAGTGAAATTGCAGACTTTCAGCTTTTAATTCAAAGCGTTTCACAAAAAAAAGAGACACTTTCATTAATGGAAATACAGAGAGTTTATAGCAAAGTGCAAACTGCTGGTTACACTCAAGGATAAGAAGGTAAGATTAGATCTCACCTGAAAACATCTAAAAGAGCAACAAGGAGAAATCAAGACGAACTTGACTGACAGATAGAGGAAAGTATGAAGGAGTGATAAGCCACATAATACCGCATTGCCTGTCAAACATGGAAGTGTTGCAGTGGAAATGTTATTGCATATATACATATAGACATACCTGTGTAACTGGTTTACTGGTGTTTATTGATGACGTTACCCATTTTTGAAGCAGCAGGATAAATTGTGAAGTGTAGAGCGCTGAACTCGCTGTTGAGATTCAGACAAATGCCGCAAAACTGGATAATGACCCGAATTAAACTGTAAATTTAACTCAAGAAACGGGAGGTTCTTCGGTGGCTGAGTCAGTCACCTGACACCCACAAATACAACACAAACAAGCAGCTACTGAATGAGGTAGAGCATCTCAAAGGAGGAGACGGAGCATTTGGCGATGACCACAGGTCTTTCAAGACTTCACAGTCACTGACTACAAAGTGTTTCCATCCAGTTTTTAAAAACTATCTCTATTTTTAAATGACAATTAACCAGTTGATCAGTTAATTCTGAGCCTTTGTACATGACGGACTTTGTATAAAAATGTCTGGAGTATTGGGATACATGTACCGGCGTTACGTATTGAAAATACAAAATATGAGTAACTGTATTTTGTTACAGTTACCATTTCAAGAGGTGGTATTCAGAATAAGGTTACTTTGTTGAAAGCGATGGATTACACAGCGGTCTTTTCCTGTTTCATATGTTAGGCTGTGCGCTCTCTATTTTTGGTAATTCCACGCTGGTGGAAACCCCAAAAAACATGCATTAAGAGGCTCCAATGCCTGTGTCTCAATCTCGCGGCCCAGGTCACCTCTACATGCAGCCTGCATTATGACGTGAAGAAATATTTTTTAAAATTATTGTTCAAAAAATCTTTTAATATGAGGGCAACAGGCAGAGTGTTACAGGCATAGCCCTAACGAATGTAGCCTCATGGGCAGTGTAGTCCAGTTGTAAGTAAGCTATTAAGACTCGACTGTACACTGTGTTCGTGTTTTCCTCCGAAACAATAAGTTCTGTTGAAGCAGCCTTTCAACGCCTCTCTCTGTCTCTCGCTAGCAAAGTTGACCCAGACAAGAAAGTAAAGCTAGTTTTTGGTTACGAGCCCGACACGGAGCCCAACACATTAGCCAGAGGTCCCTTTACTACGGTTCGGAGCCGTGGACCTGTTTTATATATGCACGGAATAGTTTTCTATATGAGATCGCTGCAAAATTTGCAGCCTTACCTAATGTCCACCCTACTGTTACTCATTTTGGAATACATTTTAATAGTAACCTTCCCAACACTGGTAACACTTAATGCAATGCTTTCCTTTAACCCCTTGAATTAAAGCTCGCATTATGACTGATCGATATAAAATCCACTGCAGTGATGTTGAGAGGCAAAAACGACAAAAAAGTGCCCAACAAATTATGGCGCTAACTGTAACCGTGTGGTAATTAAGGCGTTGCCTTCATCTGTATGGCTGAAGGAGTCAACCAGGTTTTTCTTACCAAGCTGTCTCTAAATGGACACAAGAAAAGTTTTTTTTTAAACCATCCTTTTCATCGCTCTAGTGAAAGAAGTAATTACCACTGTGTGACTAAAGTGATCAAGACTTTTGCATCCCTCTGTGTTAGGCAGTGGGATGTGTTGTGTCAGTGTCACAAGCTAAGAAAAAAAAAACAAGAAGGCAATAGCAGTTTTGTTCTCTAGCTTTTCTGGGGGGACCACCTTTGGAGCTAGACCTCGTTTCTTATGGTCGTGCTGTTCGGTCTCATGAAAATGATGCTGGGAGCTCGGACATCTAGAGATAGCAAGATAAAACACTTGATTAAAGTAGATATTTCCTATGAACTCCTGACTCCTGTTTGCAGTGCAGTAGAAGACCATAAACTTTGCTATCTTTACCTAACCCGACTGATACAGGACATTTACATTAGTGTACAAAGAAGTAAGAGGAAGGTGCAGCACTGATGCGAGACAAATATCATTACATTCACGTCTAAAAATGGGTCACTATTAAAATGTTATGTGTGTGCATGTTAAAAAAATTTATCAAGCCCCAAATAGTTTTGTCTCTCTTTACTCATGCATACAAAATTAGGTACATGCTTATTTATAGATAACTTTTTAAATGCTGGATTGCAAAATAATGTCAAACTTGTGGCAGTGGAGCTTTTAGCTTTTTGGAAGCTTTTTTTCTGCTGTTTCTGTGTTGTGTTGTGTTCAGACCCGGAGATCATTTAGAAGCTTAATTGATGCTTAAAACTGGAGAAAATTGATGGAAAATTCATAACGAACAAGACCTGTAAGCAGAATAGATAATGTGAGTGGCATCTGTAAAATCTGAGTTCTTCCATAGTGACAAGTTGCTCTTTTCAGCTCTTCAGCTTTATGTGAAAGCATAGTAGCCAGCATTGATTTTCTTTGTGTCTACTACACCAAGAATTGAAGTATGATGTGACCGGTATGTATACGTTTTCCTGAAACAAGAGACCTACACAGCCTTGTGGATGTGCAGTGGCTTGAACTCTTCTAAAAGTCAAGGATCACACCCACCCTGACCTTTTCCACTTTTTGTTTCAGGGCACCATCTGTGAGCCAGGGCTCGGGCTGCTGTCATGGTGGAACAGCTAGCACTGAGTCTTTAACGCTAGCTGTTCAAACATCATAGCTGATCTGAGGCACGAGGGACCCTCGGCAAAGGTCGCTGAACCCCACTGTTTTGGTGCCTGTTTCCACCCATGTGGCATCCGTGTGATGGAGAACCAGTTCTTCCTTGGTGCCTTTTGAGCAGCAGTCCTTTCTGTGTCACATGCACAACGTGGGGTAATTTAAAAGGGACGAGACAGTTTGTATGGAAGCACTGACTTTATGCAAGAATATTATTTACCATTTAATGTAATTAAGTTGAAATCTTTCAGGCAGGGGGGAGAAATAAGTGTGACCCTACTGTATATATAAACTGCATCCAGCGGCAAAATCAAAAAGAATATGTCACCAGCATTGCATGTTGTAAAAGATGTTATTTTTATTTGACATACCTCCACCTCCAGGATCTGCTGCACACATCCTCAGTGTGTGCTAACCCCCCACCCCTTCCTGTTTTTTTTCCCCCCACAATAAAAGTCGAAATGAGAGCTAGCTGCTCTGTGGATTTTTCATTCTGTGTGATTATAGAAAGTATATCAGAAAGGATTAGTGAGCAGCCTTTAAATCCTTCAGTGTAATGGGCAGTGAAGGACACAGTCAGATCTGCCCTCTGCACACTTAATGTCAGTCTACACACACAGATGTGTTTATTGTGCAATCAGTGGGCTGTTTCATGTGACAACTGCATGGTTGATGTTGTGAAACAAGGACAGTCTGCGCTGGAAAGGGAGCAGCAGAAATGTTACATATGAACTAAGTCAGCATTTGAATAAGTAGCGTTATGTAGGGTACTAAATAATGTGAACACGAGCTCATTTTTGCATCCTGACTCTGTCAGCAGTCATCAGTATAAATCTATAAATGCAAAGCCGTCAGTAGCAGCGCATAAACGACATACACGGTGAAACCAGCCTTCACCACACGAGGCTGGCATGGAAGTCAAGGAATGAGGGAAGTCATTTTCTCTCCCACACACAGTCACATCACGGCATCGGAATCTCCGCCAGCTGCGCAGACTCACCAGCACCCCCCCCTACACTCGCCCCGCCTCTCTCTTCGTCACATCAGGGTTTTCCGTCGATCTGCGCGGATTTGGCTTATTTATTTAATTACTCGTTATATAATACGCACTGACTTAAAACACACGCACTCACTCCCTGTCCGTCCTCAGCCTACTAACGGAACAGATGCAGTAAGTATCATTTCTGGGAATGCATACGTGTGTAAGTGCCAGCAGAGAGGGTGTGTGTGTCAGTGTGTCTTTGTGCTTGGATCGGGACGTACTGTATTCTTTGCACGCCTGATTGACAGTCAGAGCTGGATCAGAAAAAGACAGGCTTGATGTGTGTTTTCCTGATTGTGTGGAGGATCGGTCGCCTTCCGTCGTCTCTCTGACTGTTGACGAAGCCACTTTTCACCCTGCTTTTGTTCCAACTTACACAGAGCACACAGAGCGCTTTATCCGCTTATTTTTTCGCAGAAATTGCACACTTGCAGGTGTGAGTCGAGGAAAATGTTTCTTTACGCTATGAAAAACGAAAACAAAGGAAACGACAGTTTATCCGGTTGTAAAGTGTATAATAGTGGATTCTCTGAGGACAGACTTCGCAATCAGTCAGGCCTTTCCATCTAAATTATTTTTGCTTGATTCATTTTGTCATTCAGATGTTCTCCAGCTGTTGCATGTGGGTAAAAGTGAAAACTGTCGCTTCATTTCTTTCCCCCCTCTGTGATAAACACCTTAAAAGTCACCTATCATTCACGCAGAGAGCTGCTTTTCTTTAAATTTAATTTAATTAATTTATTTATTTGCATGCAGACTGCCATATCAGGTGCTAGTATAAGTGGGCCTTCTAGTTAGTCCTCTGGGATTACACTGACGTCACGAACGCGCCACTCTCCGCGGACTTCTGCAGCTGTTTTGACGTCACGTAGCGTGCCTGCATCATCAGATGAGTGGGCGTAAAGAAAAATACACCCTACACACACACACACACACACACACACACACACACACACACACACGCACGCGCGCGCGCGCGCGCGATATCCTACCCAGTTTATATGAAATATAGGCTATTAGTGTTATATAGTGTTATATAGAAATATAGTGATGTTAGTTTTCAGGACCATGTTATTAGTTTTAGTTGAGTAAAATTGATACATTGGAAGTGGAATTCAGGTAGCTGTAAGTTGAATATTATCAATATTTGCAAAGAGGCAATCCCAAAATGAGTTTATGCACTTATCCAAACACAGAAACAGCTAAATAATGCTTTTAGTGACTCTTCTTAACCTGAAAGGAAGAACTGAGCTTTAACTGTGTCATCATGTGCCATGTCTTATACATCTGCACTATAGGACCTCTGCTAAGGATTTAAAAATGTGAGATGTTGGCATCCAGTTGCATTGCTCATCTTATTAATCTGTCAGTGACAAATCTCCCAGCTTTGTGAATCATTATGTGCATGGAGGGCTGCAGATTTATAGTGTATGTATTGTTAATTAACGCGATTTACACTACTCGCTTGCACAATAACTCTTCTCCTTCAGCGAACTTCATCTATCTATATGAAGACATACATTTGGATCTAGTTCTTTGAATTGTTTGTGGTTTTTGGCTTCAACCATCAGGCCAAAATATGACAGCTCCTTGATCTCCCTGGTCTCTCTTGCTCTCTGTTTCCTCACAGCTAGTCCTCCTAACAGACCTGAGGCAACAGCGCTGACCTGAATTTCCCCCAGACCTGTTTCCCAAACTGAGGCGGGCCCCTCTGAGCATACGGGCTAACAGATACACAGGAAGACAGACAGCAGTGTCAGCAGCTACATCTACAACATCCCCCCACCCCTAAATCGTCCTCTTCTTTATCACGTCTGACATGGCGGACCCCAGTCTCACATCGCCCTCTGGGACCCCTCTGCGTTCCCCCAGCAGCTCTGTCACCCTATCCTTCCCCTTCTTGAGCGAGAGGAGCCGGGTGTGGGAGGAAGGAAGGGAGCAGCCCCTGCCGCGAGAACTGCCCAGCCCACTGCCGACCAAACGCACCCGCACATACTCTGCGTACGTATCATTAGATTATTTACAAAGCAGTGAGAGATGAAAAGTTCTCATGCACTTGCATCTTACTTCAATGTTTCCATCTCTTACTTTTAAAAAAAAAAAATGCTTGGCTTACATTTAAGAGAATAATCAGAACCAGAATCAGAGAGACTTTATTTATCCCCAAGAGGCAATTAAGATACTGCCTTAACTTAAGTATGCTTAAGTTAAAGGTATATAAAATAGTTTAATGTAGTTCCACCTTGACTCAATACAGCAGCAACATTAAACTATCTGATCCAACACTGACCGACAGGTTACCCCAGGTTGCTGAGTACTTTTACCTGCTACAGAGTAATTTTAAATTGCAGTATTGTTACTCAGAATGTGTGAAGGACTGACACATCGTGGGACGATTGTGCCTCAGCAGATTAGTGCTCTCGTCTCTGCTGTCGTTGCGCCGTGACGTTGTGAGGCAGTGTGTGTGGGAGCAGATTTCATCAGCACTTCATCTGCTTTTCTCACCTCCTTGTTAAATGCTTCTCTCTGTTATCCCACGCCTGCATTTGTCAGGCTGAAAGAGTGTGACCCATTAAATGTATCACATAAGCATTGTTCCAGACTGCTTTTTGTCTTATTTGTTTACTCTCCGCTGGAGGAACAGAACAGCTTTTGGACTATAAAAAGCCTATTTTATTGTTGATGTAAGCGATTTCATTGTCTTCCTCTTTCTGTCCACAGCACTGTGCGTGCTCACTCAGGTCCAGTTTTTAAAGGAGTATGTAAGAACTTCTCCAGGTCACAAGGTCACGGTTTCATCCAACCTTCCCACGGCGGTGAAGACATCTTTGTTCACATCTCAGAGTGAGTGGAAACAAAGCTGAACGCACAGCAGACTAATATGTTGTGTTAGCTGAATAAAAAATAGCGGATCTGCAGTGTCAACTGCACAGGAAGGACAGGAAGAACTGAGCAAACATCTCTGTACTTATTTTCAAATCGAAAGCATTTTTCTCTCTCACTTTATTACTTCTCTTACTCTGAATCCAGGAAAAGCTCATCTGTAGTGATTTTTTAAAATGATTTTTTGACAAGCAATGCGGCAAATGTTAGTAAAGACTCTGCAAACTGGTGCAAACTGATTATGCAGGATGATCCTGTTACCCTGGGGCTGTCTTCCAATTTTCTTTCTATGAACGGATGTCTGGACCTTATTGTGTAAAGGGAACAATTCCTTTAAAGAGAGCAGTCTTACATTTTGGAGAGGATTGAGTTGCTTGGATGAGGCGTTTTACTACTCTCACGTCTGTTTGTGAGAGTGGAAGGAGGCAGCATGTAGCTTTCTCTGTCAGTACACATAAATGTAAAAACAACAGCCACTGTTTTAAATCTTTTTAAGTTAATTGGTAGCTCAGAGGAGACGAGAGATCGATGTTAGGCTCTGAATGGAGGGGAAAGAGCTGCTTTCTCCTCTGTGTGCTCTAGCTCCACACTTCATCATGTGAATGGTTTTGGTATTTTCCCAAATGTCAGCCTATCCCTGTAAGTCGCTGCTTCTTTGGTTCATTGTGCAGTGTGGAGGAAATTTAGACAGAATAGTTAAAATAGAAGCGGCTTCAAATGGTCGTGATTTTCAAACAGGTTCTCACATGTTGTGTGAATAACGCGAAAAAGTTAAAAACAGATTTTCTGTTGTAATTTTTACATAAGCGGATTATAAATTGTTGATGGCGCCTCCTGTACAGCTAGGAAATACTCATTTGACCCCCTGCTGATTTTTGAATTTCCTAACTCACAAAAAAATGATTTGCATGTGACTGTGTGAAATAAGTCTTTGATCCACTACAAACCTGCAAGAATTCTGACTCTCACTGATGTGGCACACAGCTTACAATCAGTCAGTTACACATGTTTATGATCCAAACTCATTATGCACATGTACCACATCTGTTGACAGTTTCTCCCATTCCAACCTCTCCACTATGATACTCAAAACCAAAGGCCGACCAAGGGACATCAGGGACAAGACAGTAGACCTGCAAAAGAATGGAATAGACTAAAGACCTTGGTCAGAAGGAGACACCTGTCTACATGATTACTGGGAAATGGAAGAAATATAATATCAGTCGTCCTCGATCTGGAGCTTCATGCATGATCTTGCCTTATGGCAGCGTGGACCACAGTAACCAAGAACACGCTGCAATGGACTGAAATCTTGCAAGTCCCTCTGCTCAAGAAGTTTTACAGTTTTACAATGAACACCTAAATAACTCAGAGAAGGATTAGAAGAAAGGATTATGGTTAGGTGAAAGCAAAATCTAGCTCCATGATGGGTCAAGTTTTGGACCCATGGTGGGTCTCGAACTTGACCCGCATGGAAAAAGAGAAATATTGAGTATAAGTCAAAGAACACCACCCCCAAAGCCAAGCACAAAGGTGGAGACATTATGCTTTGAGGCTATTTTTCTGCTAAGGGTACAGGACAGGTTCAGTTTGTTCAGGAACTAATAGATGTGGCAATGTACTGCAATCCTCCCTCCCTCAGGCCGAACACTGATGGGTCGTGGATGGGTCTTCTAACATGACACTGACCCAAAACATACCGACAAAGGAGAGGCTAAAGAAGAAACACATTAAGGTCATGGAGTGGCCAAACTAGTCTCCAGAAAATCTGTGTCAGGGCTCTGTGTGCGGGCAGGTGGAGATGTGGATCCAAGTGCAGGACTCTCAGATGGAAATATAACTGAAAACCACAGCTTTATTGCTGGCACCAACAAAACAGAAACCAAACATGAAACCACTAACTGGAACACACAGGCAGGATCTGAGGGTACGACGCGACACTGGGTTGAGGACAACACAGGGCTAATATACACAGGGTGGTAATCAGGGAATGGGTAACAGAAGGGAGACACAGCTGGGGGAGATCAGGGCTAACGAGACGGGGGAGCTAAGCTGCACACACTAACATAAGACAAAGACTTTCACAATAAGACAGGAAACAAGGAACCACTAAACAAAGATGCAGACACGACACAGAGACAGACTAGACACTGAACAGAAACTGCAATACACATGAGAACCCAAAACCTAAGAACTGATACCTCACCAAGAATAACTGAAACAGATCTATAATGATAATAATAATAATAATAATAATAATAATAATCAAAGCACCAGAACATCAGAAAATAATCCATAATGCAAAAATAGACCAAAATATAAGAAACTCAAAATGCTGGGTCAACACTGACCCAGAACCGTAACAATCTGTGGAGGGAGCTGGTGATTTAAGTTGCCAAGCAACAGCAAAGAAAACTAAAAGATTTCTGTAAAGAGTAACATAGGAGTAGTAGTAAAGAGAAGTAGCAAATCCCTCATGAGATGTGTGCAAACCTGGTGACCGACTATAATAAACTGTGCTAACCAACAAAGACTTCCCCACCACATGCTAGGTCATGTTTTGCTTGAGGATCAAATACTCATTATTACTCAATGACATGCAAATCATTTGATAACTTTCATGTAACCTGTTCTTTTTTTCTGGATTTCTTTTGTTGCTTCGTTTTCCATTGAATCTACCATATAAATTAGAGACTTTGTTTTTTGTAAGCAAGCAAACTTACAAATTCCGGCATGGATCAAATAATTGTTTCCCTCACTCTGTGTTCCTGTCAGCTTTTATCCTCATTGCAAAGCAAAACGCTCTAATTCTGTTTCATTGTCCTGAATTTTCTACGTTTCAGCATCGAGGGGGAATACGTCCCAGTCGAGGGAGATGAAGTCACATACAAAGTATGCCGGGTCCCACCCAAAAACCTGAAGGTGCAGGCGGTGGAGGTGAAGATCGCACACCTCAAGCCAGGAACGAAACATGAGACCTGGTCTGGGCAGATCATCAGCTCGTAGGGAGAGAGCTGTGGGCCTGTTGGGCTGCACTGGACTGGATTTGGTGTGCGCTGAAAGAGGGGCTCTGGGACTGACACTTTTTTTTTAAAGGTTTTCCTTTCACAGAAAACATGCCCGGTGTTAATAAGAGTCAATAATGAAGTTGTTTTTGTGTCTACCCTACAGAGCTGACATGTCCTGTTCAAAAGTGTCCACTGCTCTCATGAATTTTGTTTGGGATTGTAAACTGACCTGTGAGAGCTTTGAAAGGATGGGTCTGTAAAGGATGAAAAAGTAGAAAAGACATCATGCTGTTATATTATTCTGAAAACTGACATAAGTGAGGAGTAAACTGGGCAGAGAAAGTTGAACAACAGGCTGGATTCGGTTTTACTTCCCCTGATAGCAGCTCACCAAAGTTTCAGGGATCACATGTCTGGGTCAGATCACTTATCACAACATACTCACATGTCCAACTTTGAACAGATGAGTAGGAACTTTGTATTCAATGTGTTAAAATATTTAAAAAATAGTATTAAGTCTGAAAAGATCTAAAGAAGTTAAAACTGGTTTAGCATTAAAAACCCACAAAAACAAAATCCCTACAAATCTTACAGTAACTACTTCCATATTTGCACCCATGACAGGACCTCCTTTTTGTTTCAGATCACCATTTTAAGACACACAACTGAGAGGGAAATGTTCTTCTGTGTTATTGTCAATGTTAGAGTAAACTTTTAAATGTTGTCTGTTGTGATGGGAGACCGAGGCAGACAAGATCAAACATTAACATTTCAAAAATATGAAATATATACAGGTTACTGCAAGCGTTTCCTTTAAGAATAACCACCTTTTACTGTATTGTCTTGTTTGTGGTCACTTCATTTTATCGTTCGCTTGTTGGTTTGTTTGTGCGTCTGTATGTCAGACTGCTTTGTTTTTCAAATAATGCAGTTAAAAGTTGCACTTAAGAAACTTTCAATACGAAAACTGCAGCGGTACTCGAGACATTTGTCTTAGTTTGTTTTTAAAAAAATCCTTTCGTCAAAGGATCTGGAGCCATGGATTACTTGTGTGTACATTTTGTTTTCTGTTCATAGAAACATATATGTGTGTGATTTACTGAGTCATTGTGATTGTGAACTGCCAATGCGTTCTCATCCCAGAGCGTCAAATCCTGCTGTTCTCTCAGATGCGGCTTGTGTTGCCAAATTATGCATAAGATGTCCTTTGACGTCTGGACCTCAACACACTGCCTGTGGCATTTGTGCACGCTGCAAGTTAATGGTCCTCTTTAAAGTCCACATGAGGAGGTTGCAGGGATGGTGGTGCTGCAACTCAGAAGATAGTTTGCCAGGATTCATTTGTTTGCTTCCTGTTTGAGAGCTTAACACTTTGAAATGTGGTTTACTTGGTTTTTGCTGGATGATTTTAGTTTTCAGGCCTAATTATTTCACCACTTTCCTTTCGCTGTACTAACTAACAAATGCAAAAATGTGAAAAATAAATCCTGAAAGATGGGGAAAAATGTGATCCCAAAGGGTTTTTGTTACACACCTAATGTCTAAACCTAAAAGGCCACCGTGTGTGTGCGCCAGTGGCTTTACCAAAACGGGAGTATTAGACGCCATGAGAACGAGAACGGGCTGCAACCAACTTGACTGCAGAGTTGCAGAGCTGGGTGCCAATAGTGCATATTGTCATATTGTTGTTCTTCAGGTTGAAAACTGTACTGTAAATCATTTTATGCATTCCACTGAGTCTGTCTTTCTGTCAGTGTCACTGCCTGATTTTTTTTAGTTTTTTCATTGTGAAATTTAACTTCATTAATTGGTGTTTTTGTCTTTCTGTAGACGAGCCACCGTTGTGGTAATCCTAGTCATCACTTCTACTGAGCCTTGAAAGAACATTAAAGCAGGTTAGGATTCACTTGACTCTTGGAAGGTGTGTCTATTTTGAAAAATGCTTGACCACTGCAACTCAGGCAGCTTGTGTGGTAGACGGCTTGCAGAGGAAATGGCTGTTTCTTGTGGATGTAGCTGCTGGAGAGTCTTGTTTTAAACTGTTAAGCTGTTATTATGTATAAGAAATAAGCACTGATAAAAAAAATCACATAAGTAAACAAGGAAAAAGGTGATTTTTCTTTCCCTTAAACAGTTTATTAGAGACTGATTAATTTTGCTTTTTTTTAATTTTTAATTTTGCTTCTAACACAATAGAAGTTCTCGTTGAGACCATTTTAAATGTGAGTATGTGCTGTATGAGTAACAAGCCTCTATGGTAACTATTTCATGCACAGTTAGTTACATGAAATATAATATTCAATGGTTTAATGGGTTTTTAATTAGAAAAGAAATTATTAAGGTTTGTTTGAGATATATTCAATATAAAACCAAGTATTAACAAGTACAGCCTGATATTATAATCCATCCAGTGGACAGTCAGCCAGTGCAGTGATGATGTTTGCAGCTTGATTGGTGGATAGGACAACTTGAACATGTCCAGTCAGTGGGAGGAAAGCGTGGTGGTCAGGGTGGAAGGCAGGATGTGGATCATGTGCAGGAATAGGGGCTTATCACACCATAATCAGCTGACAACAGTCAAAGAAGTTGACAACAAAGAAGGAGGAAGCGAGAAAAAGAGCTGCAACAAAAAGCATGAATAAAATGACAATCTTGCAGCTCTAAGTCAGAGGCCATCTAGTGACTGGGTATAGAAAGACAGGTAAAAGGCTGTTTACTGAAGAGCCACCGTCCCAATCTGGCTTTGTTTCTGGCTTCAGTCTCCAATTCAACCACAGAGAGGTGGAGCTGGACTCTTTGTCTCTGCAGTGTTAGCACACCCAGGAAAGGAATCGTGACAAGATTACAGAGAAAGTTTTTGTCAGCCTGAAGTGCTTCACATGTAAAATAGCTGAGAAAAACACCAACACCAACAGAGAGCTCTGACTGGAGAAACAAGTAGACAAGTGATTCCTGCACACTTTGATGTTCAATAAAGAGTTACTGGAAAACACATTGAGGTCCTTAGACAACATATCACACTGAACAGAAAATGAATAAACATTTAATACAGTTCATTTTCATCCATATGTTACCAATCTTACAGTCAGTTTACAGGCTCATATCCAGATGTGCATGTCAGTCTACACGACCCCTGTAGTCTTTCAGGTTGAAGGAGTGCTTACAGTCAGAAACAGATATGTTCCATATATGACTTACTAAAATCCACATATTCGCATCAATGATCCATGAAGTACGATGATTTTTTTCAAACCAATAACAGATGTGACTGAAAAATGATGCCAACACATTTTAAACATCATTAAAAGGCATTTTTGAAACACTTTAACCTCCTAAGACCCGAACTCTTCCACAGCATGCATTTTTAATTTCTCTTTGATATTTGGGCTGATTGGGGCCCGATGAATGTAAAAACAAAGAATTACCAGATTTTTTTTTTTTTTTTACCTTATTTTTGTTTTTAAGAAAAATAAGAGCCACATATGAGGATATTCGTTTAAAATTTCGACAGAACAGTAGCAGCATAATGTCCTCATAAGTGGATATCAGGCCCTTGTAGAGCAAAATTGAGTATTTTGGTCTAAATAACCCAAAATGTGATGTCCACATATGGGGACACCAGGAGGTTAAAGAGGACCTATTATGCTTGTACATGAATGAACACCTCAAGCTTCAGACTGCTCTAAAACCTTAGTTTCACTGAGTTTTTTCCAATATCGGCTCCATCTACTGATATCCTCAGAACCCAATTCTCTCCTGTTGTTCTCAAACCTTTGGTTTAGGACAAGCAGCCAATCAGAAGAAAGCTTGCATAAGAGGAGAGGAGCTAAAGTGGCTTGTTTCAGACAGAGGACGATCTGCAGCAAGGCTCAATGTAGGATAAATAAAGACTAGTTTGATCAGCATGAGTCAAAGAATAAATATAAGCAGCTGGAAATGAGCCTGAATGTTCCACTTTAAGCAGCTGTTGATAATGTCGTACAACTGGAAAAGCATCAGCAGATGCAGTCACGCGTATCACATGCAGGCAAAAGCCCAGCTTGTAAGAAAAAGTTTCCATATTGAGCCACGTAAGTATACAGTGACAGTAGCTTAATTCACTGATTACAGTAAAGAATCTTTAGAACCTTCCCTTGGATGTGATTTATAAAGCTTTGAGAAGCAGAATGAGAAATGGCACCAAGCTTCTTTCTGTTAAAGAAGTTAAAACAAAAATCCAATGTTCCTGTGATCACATGGTAAAACAGTCAAACACGTACAGTTCAGACATTAAAAACATCTGGAATGATTCCTCTGTATCCTCGACTTGAGATCTAAGAAAGGCCCTTAATTCCAATCTCGTTTTCATAGAAAATCCCATAAATCACCTGTTTAATGTCAGTCTCTCACACTGCTCGCCTCCATCAGCAGAGTTAAAAAACAATACATTGGCAAAAATTATGTCAGCATTAGTGCAAGTCTTACATTTTTAAAAAACTGCATCAAGTGTTACAATCTCTCAAAGTGAACGTGATAACACGTCACAGTAACGCGACTCTCCGGTCAGAGCACATCTCCGGGCACAGTCCTCCGCACATGTAACACTTCCCTCGTCAACGTCCCTTCTTTAAAAAAAAGAAAAAAAGAACTGCGACTTTCCGAACAGGTGTAGCTCATTCACCCCGCTTCAGTCCATTTAAATTTAGTAGAAATGTTAAAAACATGGAGAGATCGGTATTGGTACCTTTCATCACTTTAAAACAGTCTGAGCTCGCCAGCAGACGGCCACAGACTCGTGTTCAGACGGGGCTTGAGGAGAAAGGGGGCAGTTCGGGACATCAGGACTCATGTGGTAAAGCGTCAAAGAAAAGCTCCCGACAGAGCCGAGCTGTGTCCTCTGGAGAGTAGACCGTGAAGCCGATGGTCCGTGGGTCGTTGAAAATTTCATAGTCGTTTCCTCCCTGCAGAGAGAAAAGAAAAACCATTAGATTAGTGCCGCCTGGTTTGGCTTGTTTTGTTCTCTCTGAGCAAAACAAACCATAAAAAACAGATAAAGCTTCATTTGGCTGAGGCCTGATTATTCTGGGACCGTTGGACTGAGATTGCAAAACAACTGAATGGACACTTAACAAGCAGGAGTCTTTCCAGGGTTTCCCAGAAGTGCAGCTGTTTCTCTTCACATCTACACCCTTTTACATCCTCATAGAAAAACTAAGTTATACGTCTCCACGTTATTTCTGTCAAATATGGTAAAAATGAATTTTGATCAAAACTTATCAAACTGATTCAAAGAGAGATTTTGGTCCAAATCAACATGATAGCATCAGACAGTTGCTGAAAATTTGTCAGATGGTACGAGGGATGAACATAGTCAGATAGGCTGATGTGTTTAAATGATGCTCATTGGTACACACACCATTACACCACCAGCCGGCAGGATGGATTTCATGCTGTTTACAACAAATCTTCTGCTTCTGTAGCCCGCTTGATATTTTCTATTTTTCTGTGTAAACGCTCACGTTAGGCCATCTGACATCAACAACGACGGCACGTTCAAAGTCACTTCTTCCCCATTCTGACCTGTACCTAATGAAGTGGCCAGTACATGTAGAATCTAATGCTATTAATCCAGGAAGTCACTTTGTCTAATTTCTGCACTTCTTCTAGATATGCAATTGCTCATAAATGAAAACATCTAGGAAAAACATAAACAGGCTTACTGAAACTGCAAAACTCCTTGGTGCCAATTAAACATCTCATGTAAAAGTGAAAGCAAGTCAGATTTAAACCTTTAGACCAGCATTCTTTCTAATGGCCAGAAGGGGGAGGACTTCTCTGTTAGCTAAAACAAGTCGGACTGGATAGAAATCATAAACACTTCCCTAGGAAGTTATAGTTTCAAGTCATTTTTAATAGAATAAACATTCATTTTATAAATTATGGTCATCATAGGAAAACAAGAGGTACAACAAGGCCTTACTTAGAGAGTGGTTACACTGTGGCTGATGAGTTGTGACCATGTGAAGAGTTTTTCACAATTGTCTTCAACATGCCAAAGCACAAAATATGAAAAATGAAAGCCTGACTGGCCAATCAATGAGCTATTTCACAATCACATACAGTTGGGGTGTTGTAGTCTCCAGAACATTCCTGCTTTTTAACCGTTTATGACTGAACTTACATCTGAGGTCTCATTGCCAAAAAAGTAGATGGCATCCAAGCCTTCCCTCTCCAGCACCTCTAAACAGAGTCTCTTGTCCCAGCCCTCTGGGAAAATGTCAAAGCTGATGAGGCCACCTAAGAGGAGATAATGACAAGTAACATGGCTGTCATTATAATGACTCAGACTTTAAATGTACACTGTGTGTTTCGCGAATGATAGCTTCAAAGAATAGCTTGTATTATAAAGTAAAAAAAAAAATTCTTTTGGCTTCTTACTGACAACATACAGCAGTGTTTTTCTAGGAACTTTGTTGGCAGAGAAAACAGCATACTAGGAAAAGGAATGTGTCCCCAAAACACACTTGTGTACGTCAATCTTTGTCGAAACAGCGCTGAGCACTTTTCTGTGTTTAAAGAGTCACAGAAAAGGGAGCAGAGATATTATCATGGCTGCAGGGTGATTTATGTTGCAGCTCAAGTTTTTTTTTAAACTCTAAATGTAACAGAAGAAGCTCTGTCGTTGCTCTGTGCTGACTTGAATGACCCCGGTGACATTTAAACTGTGAAATGTGGGTGAAACATCTCGCTCGGAGGCCTTTAGCAGGACCTCTTTCTCTCTTTCCCCCATCATACCTTACATTTTTTTGCCATCTTGTCTTTCAGTTAAAGCCTTTAGAGCTCAAAAACAACAACAAAAGCCGAGAAGCTTCCAACCAATCAGAGCGCTATTTCCCTCACACACCCTCCACACGCCTCTGTCCTAAACACCTTCAACCTCAGACTTTAAACATGGCAGTTCTTCAGTCACATCTGTAATCAACCCACCCCAACCCTCGACATGCATTCTTCACCCTCATCAACTGCCCCCAGATGACTGCTGACACTGCACAGATGTACACATCTGACCTTTATCAAAACTTACTCAACCGCTTCAGCTAAATAGTTATACATCCACCTCTTAATCGCCTTCCTCATATAAACAGAGCCTTCTTTAAACTACAGGCATTATTTAATTGAAGAACACACAGGGTGTCGTTTACCTCGTGTCAAATGTTTGTGTGCACAGTGTCCCTTACATTCTGTACTCTCAATGCAGATTGGATAGAGTGTCACTCAGTTATATAACTCCTATCACAGAGATCAGCTTATATCAGCAGCCATTCGCAGGAAGATAAACTCTGAGCAAAACAAACTAATAAATCACCACCGCTGCACATCCTCTGGATTGACTGACCTGTTTCTTTAGGTGTCATTAATAAAACACACACAGCTGCTTTAAACAAAAGAGAATACAAGTATATGCTCAGCAGAGATGGGCAGTAACGCGTAATCCGATTACTTTTTTCAAGTAACGAGTAAAGTAAGGGATTACTATTGCAAAAACGGTAATTAGATTACCGTTACTTTCCCGTAGGAACGCTGCGTTACTGCGTTACTAAAACCGTGATTTTTTTTGTGAGAATGTCTCACGACAGTGACGTAAGCGAGTGCGACGTTCGTGACAACAGCTGTGTGCAGATCAACAATGGATCATATATCGAGTGCGGGAGAGAGTATGAGCGTGCAGCGTTTAAAGCTTGGAAGTACTGACCTTACTTTGAGTTTGATTCCATAAAAAGCGACAAAAACATTAGTGTCCATCGTGCGTGGGAAGAAAACTTGTTTTTACAGCGAAAAAACACCCCTAAACTTCCAAGCAAGCACAGAGAAACTCGCAGATTCTTCAACTGACCGCTGCGGCACACCTGCACCAGGGTAAACCTCCGCCTACCCTACTCCTGCTTTACAGGTGAAAATAGAGCAAAAGGACCGCTAGTCTTTGACTTTATTTATTTTCTGCTGTGTTTTACTTGCATCTATTTGAAAGACTGAGTGTAAACACACACAAAAAAAATATTTTATGTGCTGGAATGTGCAGAAAATAGGTTTAAATATGAAACAAATTTCTTCCAGTCAGTGAATGTTGCATATAATTAAATTTTTGCTTGATGCATAAAGTTAAAAGATTAAAACTAACAAAACAAGTTTTAAAAAGAGACTTTTCCATTTGATTACATTTTGTATGATGAATTATGTAGAAAAAGTAGAATTGGGCTGAAAGATCTATCGCTTTATTACCTCTTCAGGTTGTAAATCGTGTTTTTAAAAAGTAACTAAGTAACTAAGTAATTAATTATTTTTGAAAATAAGTAATCAGTAAAGTAACGGGATTACTTATTTGGGGAAGTATGTTGGTCAGTGTTGGTCAAGTTACTTTTTTCAAGTAACTTGACCAACACTGATGCTCAGTATCTTTCTATTCATTTATCTGGGGAAGTAAGATCTAATCCCTTCTTTTGCTGCTACATGTCGAGGATGTTCACAAGCAGGTTTGCCGTGGGTAAACAAGGCCAGCTGTCTCGCATGTGGGCAGCCTTCATGCATCACCAGCTGAAGTTCACACCTCATGGAGCACGTAAGCAAACATCAAGTACTTGATTCACCTTCCCTGACACACTTTAATAAAGCAAGACAGGGAACAGCGAGTGTGTAATAGTTAACCGAGGCCTCAGATCAACAGTACAAGGTCCAAGACACTGCATACAGGTGGGAGACAGAGGGGCCTCTTTGTAAACTGAGATAAGATACAGCAGGCAGATAGATGTGGTTTGTCATTAAACTACATGGTATTGAGCTGAATACTGACTTAACTGAACATGAAAACAACATAAAAACAAAGGCGGTCTTACTGGTCTGACAAACCAGAAGAGTGAGTCGCTTAAAATAGTTCAAAGCCTGAAAGAACCAGTGTTAGGCTGATGATGGTGAACTGATTTGGCTGGTTCAGGTATGAAATAATAGCTGATGTTTTGATGATAACTGAAGTGATTACCAAGACAAATAAATTACAATCAGAGTGATAAAGTATCAGTTGCATACTATTTTAATCATCGCTTCAAGAGGTGTGTCCCAGTAATGTCAGCTTTCTTGCATGAAGATTTACAGAGAGCTTTATTATATTTATCAGTGGGTGTGAAGATGCTTTCAGTTTAAACTCTCTCACCTTTAGTAAACCGTAGTCCTTTTCCAGCAAACTCCTTTTTCAGAGCAGCAACAAATTTCTCTCTGATCTTCTCTCTCTGTGGAGGGAATGACAACCCAGTTAGCTCGATGGCAAAAACGAAGTAAAAGTGCTTTTGCAATGTAAAAGTTCGTCAAGTTCACAGAAACCGCTGCAGTAGCCATGTCATTTTCTCTATGAATACAGCAGAGAATGCAGGAATTTAAATGTTAGCAGGTAACTGAAGAGTTAACCTTCGACTTCCTCCATATCGCCTGTGTCTGTGAGCCATCAATGGGCAGCTTGTTAAGCGGTCCTGAAAGCTCGCCATTGTTTAACGTCCTTTGTCTTTGTAACCGAGACAGTAACACGACTTGCTGTAACTCTCAGTGACTGATATTTGATATTTAATTTTAAGGTTCATATGTCAGGACATAATAAAATCAATCATCTGGTCCTTCAGCTTCTAAAATTATTTAAATCTAAAACTAAATCAAATGCAGTGTGTGGAAAAACTTCGTGCACCCCATGAGTCAGTAGATTGTAGAAACACCTTTAGCAGCAATAACTCGAAGAGCTGTGGAGGAATTCAGTCCGACTCGTTTTTGCAACATTGATTCAGTTCATTGCGATTTGTGGATATTTGTTTATGCACAGCTCTCTTAGAGTCCCACCACTGCATTTTAATCAAATTGAAGCCTGGGCTTTGATTGCAACACCTTCATTCTTTTCTCTTTCAGACGTTCTGTTGTAGATTTGCTGATGTGCTTGGGATCGTTGCCCTGTTGCATGACCCAATTTGGACCAAGCTTTAGCTTTTAAACAGATGGCTTCGCATTTGAGTCTAGAATACTTTGGTATACAGAGGAGTTAACGGTGAACTCAATATCCTGTGAGTGTAAATCAAAGCTTAATTATCACTGTGCTTGGTAGAAGGATCAGCAGACAGCCAGAGATTGTTTTTTAGACTTAAGGAGGTTGCTGTCCTATTTTTACTCATGCAGAAATACTGATCCCTTATGTTGATCTGAATTAGCAGAGAGCTTTGTCAAGGTAAGCGTGTTCAGTGTTGGATGAGTTTTCAGTTCAGCTGATTAAATGCGAGTTTGCTCGGTTAATGTTATCTCTAGAAAGCAGTGCATGTTCACAGTATTCAGTCTTGTTCACAGGTATTCCCAGAATGTCTTAATTTAATTTATAAAATATAAATATTTACCTGTCCTTGTATCCTTATCAGTACAATATTGCCACACAAATTATCATAATGCTATGCTTTATCGATTTCTTCCACCGCCCCTAGTGTTTAATGGTTGGTCTAAGGTGTTCATGCTGATATGCTGTGTTTCGTTTTGGCCAAACATCTTAATCTTGGTCTCGTCTGTCAAAAGGACTTTGTCCCGGAAGTCAGATGTTATTCAGATGTTTTTTTTACAATGTTTTGTTGCTTTTTCACCCTTTTTTTGTAGCAAAGAAATGGCAGCTTAACTGCACTGCATAAGTTTTGCTGTTACTAAAATGCCTGCAGGGACAATAAATAAATACATGGTGTTTGCTTCTGAATAAAGTACTTCTGCCAATGAAGTTTACCTTGTCGATTTCAGAAAATTCAATTCGTTCCTCTGCTGTGCAGCTCCGACCGATGGGGGAGATGTTGATCATTCCGTTCCTGAACTCAATAAATGTACCCCTGCGGCAGAAAGGCATCGTCAGGATATAATACTTGAGTTTAAACATAATGTTATAGCTTCATATTTGATGAGAAATCACAACACAATTGTGTTTTCTTGCTTCAGTGCCTCAGGTCATTGCTAAAATACCTCACATTCCTGAAAAGCTGGAATTCAGGTTTGTCTTTCTGCCTTAGGTTAAAATAGCTTGTAGCCTAATTCTTGTGAGCTCTTTTTACCATCTCACCTTTTCTTTGGCAGTTTGATAAGTCCCATGTAACTGAGGCAGAAGTTGATCAGGTCCTGCAGCAGCTCCTCCCCGATCTGGTTTTGAATGGCCTGCAGGGATTAAAATACACGAAAAGACCAGGGTAAACAAATGGAGTAAAACTAAGTTTTACAACATGGTTTATGACAGCAAATTACTTTCTTTATGCTTTTGTGCAATCTTCCTTTCATTACAATTCTACTTGTATTCTTGTTACTGTTATTTTTTGAATCAGGACATAAAAACGTGTATCTGAGTATAGGAGGACTTACATGTTTTGAGAGGAGTTTCCCATCTTTGTACTGCACTGTCCCATTTTCAGCAAACACATAATCAAACTTGTGTATCACTGCAAGAAAAGAGACGGGTCAAATGTACCTAAATGTGCTCATCTATTTCTCTTTAACCTACATACTAAATTTGGAGCAGCTCCTTCGCTAATCGGAAGACATACCTGCTATATTTACCCAGCAGCAGATTAAAGTGTATGTAACGCTGGCTACACGAGTTTAATCCTCCTGACTTTCACACTCACTCTGCACTAAGACAATGATGAGGAAGCTCTGTAGCTGAGCCTGTGTTAAAGCTGCTTTTATAACTTTAACAGAGGCAAAAGCCAGTAAAACAAAAGCATGCAGAACTGCATAAAAACATGTTAGTTACAACAGCTGTATCAAATTTCAAATACGCAACGTTAATATTACCTGTGACATTGTAACACAAAGTAAGTGAAGGTTCACCTTTGGCACACTTGGCAGGGTAGATGAAACTGCCGAGCTCTTTTTAAGCACAATGCAGCTGCATTCCAGCGGTAACCTCATATTGACTGACAGACAGGTTATCAGCCTGCCTGCAGCAGCTGGGCGTGAACTCAGCTGAGAGGCTGCTGGTGCAATGCCCGTGTTACAATTGTGTGCTTTGGCTGCTGGTTTGGGGAATCACAAGATCATAAAGTGAAGTGAACATACATGCAACACACATGAAGTTAATGACTGGCCGAACCAGCTTGCGCTGTTATTTATTTATGGCAGGTCTCGCGTTTAGAAGGAAGCTTGCTTTAGTTTAATTTGCGGCTTAAATACAAAATTATTTCCAGAATTAATCATAACCTCAGCTCTACTCCCTGCAGCCTGTGTCAGGGCATGTTGGGTGATGGAGCTTGCTGAATCACAAGCGTCTGTGGCTGAGACAGGAAGAGATCTCCTCACCATCATCTCCCTCCCCAAGCTGCTCTGCAATCTTCGAGTAGTCCGACCCTCCCACGATGCCGATCTTCACCTTCTTACGCAGAGTCTGGAAGAACTCATCCAGCTCTGGGTCGATTTTCTACAAACAGGAAAAACACACTTTAATTATCACTTTATGTTTTAATGACACAAACACACCTAAACAGACACACATATTGTCATCAACAACAAGCTCTCTATCTTGCAAAGAGGTGTAGTGTCATTTATTTGGAGCAGATTTAAAGTTTCCCAATGTAAGGAGGAAAACTCCCCGAACTGCACTCAAAGGAGACCACATTATGCAATATCCGGGCACTGACGCGTCCTGCACACACGCACACTCACACACACACCAGTGATCCTGCATGAAACTGAGCATAGAAAGTCAAAGACAAAAGAACAAGAGAGTGTGCATAAATCAGACGCTCCAGATACAAAAATCAAAGGCTCTATTAAACCTTAGATAACTGGTAACAAAAATGGTTATTTTAAATTTCCTGCAATAAGCCAGCTGAGCAATGCATTCTCAGTTATTCTGCACAGCAACATGTGTACCTTACTGAGAGGCTTTGCATGCAGCTGCATGGCGAAGCCTGTCTTCAGTACCTTATGATAGAAGGACTTTCTGATGCACAGTTGATGTTGTGAAAGGTTAAAAACTTGGTAATTAAATTGTAAAAAACACCTCAAATAATAAATACAGGTTTGAATTCACATTGGATTGAAACCTCCTGGTTGACAGTTATGAGTTTATTGCATCTTAAAGTGCATAGTGTCGCCCTACACTTTTTTTCTCCGAGATGCAACTATTACATCACAGCCCTGTGATTGGTCAGTTGCAGAGATCGCCATGGAGCACCATTAATATAACACTGAAGATATACACCCATGTGCATCCCCGCAGACCCGTACCTGGGTATGTGTATAGGAGGAGCAAGGAGTGCAAAAGGAAAGTAAACACTGTGAGAAAGAGCACGTGAAGTCATCAGGACACCGTGTTCTCTACAGTAAGGTGCCTCTCATCAGAGGTCAATGATGAGGGCAGAAGAGGAGAGAGCTGTCATGAAATCTGATCATAACAATAATAATAAGATTATCGATGGGAAGCGAGCTCACCTCTCTCGGTGGTGTCAGAGTGCCGTCCACATCAAACAGGCAGAGGACGTTTCTGTCCGGAGAGAAGCCCTGTGCTTTCTCCATGTCTTCTGCTCCCTCACTGTTCTTATATAGAAATGTTCAGCAGAAATGCTACTGCAAGGTCCACTCTCGTGTAAAGAGGCGCATAAAAATATCTAATTTACATAATGGAGAAAAAAATGCATCCGCTATCAGCTGCAGTGCAAAAACCAACAAAATAAAATATAAAATGAGCTTCCAGCTTTATAAATAAGGATGGTTATCTCTCTCAGTGCGAGGCTCTTCTCTCCCTTATCTTTCTTCTGAGCCGCAGTCCTGCTGGTTTGTTTTGGGTCCGCTTGGCTCAGTGAAGCAGCTCTGCTCACACTTCAACACACGCTGCGTGCCGTACGTGTTGGATTTTTCTGTTTCTGTTCTGCAGCGCTCATTAAATCACCAGCCAATCACAGCCAGGGGACATACGTGACGTCAGGAGGCGGGGCAGGTTAATTTACTCGCCATTCAATGGCCGACGGCCTTTCACCTACAAGCGATGAGCAGGAGCTAGGAGTGGTTGGAATAAGGAGGGTGCTGTACGTTTGACACTGAGTAAAGCTTTGTTTATGAATGAGAAGAGTCTGAATAACAGTGTAATTGCGGAAGCCCAGGTTCAGCAGGATATCATATGATGCAGGTTTTTCTAGAAAAGTAAGCCACAGTATTTCTAAAATAGATCCAGATGAATTAATTCTCAAGTTCCTCCAGAGTTTTGTGTTTTTGCAGTGAGTCAGAATTATGATCCAGGGACTTTTTCCACAATGCAGCTATAGCTCTTCCTGTTTCTTCTCAATGTATTAGCATGCATTTAAAATTTATCTTTGGAATAGAAATTTAAGGCTTTCCATATTAGATCTTTGCATTCTATTTTCTAATTATTATTATTATTATTTATTATTATTATTATTATTTTTTTTTACCAGGGATAATGTACATTAATAAACATTTCTGTAAATTAGCCACAGGTTAGTTTAAACTAAATTTCATCTGTAGTTCATGGCTACATATTTAAAGCACCTAATCAGTGAAGAATGTATGTAACAAGATTTTCAAAGTTAAGTAAGCTGTACTTTTGTAAAATTTTCTAAAACATTTTCAGTGTTCTAGTATATAGAGACTGAAGCCAGACTGTGACCACGTAGTAATACAATAATTAATATTGTAATAAAAACGTGTTAATTCTGTTCTTATAACCCTATAATAGCAAAAAGCATTTTCTTTATATTCATGTCCTCAGGCTTAAACCCTTAAACCCTGGATTTGATTTGGTCCTGGTCTCCTGACCATGGGCAGGTTTGCTGCATTTGTTGCAGTTATGTCTTTAAAAATTTGCACAATAGCCTCATTTTGCAGTTTTGCCTCTGTAAAAGACAAATTGGTCACTGTGAGTTCAGTATTTTCATCCTACTATAAAGCCAGTTCTTATATTTAAAATGATGTATTGGGGATGTGTCTAAAAATGTTAAATTAATTCATGCTCTGGACAGCTGGTTGTTTGTGGTCTTCCAAATCCAAATGGGAAGTTGCAGAGTGCCCTCTGGTGGACAAACTATGCAACATCCGTCATAGCATAGTTGTAGGACAGGGACATTAGCCTCATTTTACATTGTGGTCCACTTTGATCTTACAGTTTTTTCTGAATGCTTAAACCCTAACTGTGATTCCTGTAGCACAATCTCTAAAACTATTCAGACTTATAGCAAAACCACTCACTGAGTTTGCAAAACTAAAAGCACAAAAACTGCTTTGCACTCAGTTTGCAATTTTGTAACACACACTTTGCAAAACTGTAGGCACAATTCACTGCACAACACTCAATTACCAAATTTCCAACACACTCCTAGCAACAGTATACACATGTATGGCTATGATTAACACTAATTTGCCAACTGTCTGGCACACTTTCACATGTGAAAACTTTTTTAGATAATTAGTTCACTTTGCAATCAGCCTAAGCACTATAATACAGGTAAGCTGTGTGTGCGGAGTACAATGGAGGGAGCAGAAAGAGTGAGAAGTAGAGGAGGCCGAGGAAGAGGACGTGGAGGTGAAGAAGTAGGATGAAGAGGACGACAAGGACAAGGAGGAGCAAGAGGAAGACGAGGAGGGGGGAGAGGAAGATGAGGAGGGGGGAGAGGAAGGGTAGGAAGAGTAAGAAATAGAATTGCTGATGACATCAGAGCTACAATAGTGGACCATGTAATCAACCGTGGAATGACCCTGAGGGTAGCTGGCCAACGGGTCCAGCCTAACTCGAGCCGCTACACTGTAGCAAGTACCATAAGGACATCTTGAAATGAGAATCGGTTAGTACAGTCACTTCGCACAAAGATTTGTAGCACTGCCATATGCCAATGAGAAACACACCAATACCATTGATGTAAAAATACTGAAATTGTTACTTTACAGAATTGCTAGATGACCAGATGCTGGGGGCAGAGGAAGCATGTTCACTGCAGACCAAGTAACCCATATAGTCATTATGGCGATTGCAAATAATCCTATACTTGGAAATAAACACTTGTGTTTGTTTTGATGTGTTTGAATAAACACCAGTGCTTGAAGTTTGGATCCGTCTATGCTTATGGATCTATGACAGAAGTATGAGCTCAAACTGACATAGCCTACCTTGTGCACAGAGAAAGCAAAAGCCAGATGTGTTTTGTATTCATACCATCAGTGTGCAGTTGGCGCATTGTGTGCTTAGTAGATGATGGCTTGTGTGTACTGTTTGATACGGAAACACCATTTTTACGAAGGTGTGAAGAGTTAATCTAGCTGTGTTTGCTTTTGCAAGAGAACTACAATGTTTTGATTATTGGGTGACAGGTTTTCTTATTTGTGTGAAGAGTTTTGCAAAATTAGCCAATAGTTACAAAAAATGTGCTTAAGCAATCAGAAAAAACTGTAAGCAAGCCAGACCAAATCAGTTCAATTCAGATCATTTATATCGTGCCAAACACACACAAAGCACCACTAGTAAAATTCCAATTTCTGTCAATGTACACATTTAATCCCTGAGATATCTTCATAATAGAAAAAGAAGCCTAATTTGAACTGCACATCTCCGTCTTTCTATATGATGAAGAAATGCTGCTCCAGCAAAGAAAGACATCAGTCAGCATGACTCTGTGGGATTAAGCTATTCTCTACATGTGTAAAACTGCAGAATAAGATTCTGGGAGCTCATTGCCCAGACTGGGCTGTAAGTATAAATAAGAAGATTTTTATTAATTCACAGAAAAGAAAAATAATAACTTTTCTGTCATTTGGTTGTTTTCTATTACTCAATAACTTTGATGTAAGATAAATGTAGCAAAAGCTGTAAAACATATGAAAATACAGTTAGAAGTCCAAAATTTTTCCAGCTCTATGCAGCGGGCAGGATTGAAGTCTTTGCCAGACTGAAATCTGGCCCTGGGGCCTTATGTTTGACACCCGTGTTGTAGGGCATTTCTCTGACCTTCTCTTTACTTTTTAAATATTCATTTTTTGGCTGTTGTAAGTGGGAGTACTGATATATTGGCAAATTGGCTCCACTATTTATATATCGGTTGGGCTCTAGTTGAATTTAAGTTATTCTTAGTTAAACTGGTGTTTTTGTAATAGTGAAGACCATTTCGTTTTAACAGGATTTACCTCATGTCAGCAAAATGCCCCCAACTATATATCAGATCCCCTCATTGTAGGAGTCAGTTTCTTATTCCTTAGTTTAACATTTGAGGCACTGGTTTATAGTTATTACTTTGAATACATAAACCAAACAATCCTCACCAGTTACTACCAGAACATATAGCTTTTAAATAGAAACAAAAACACGAATAACATGCCTTCACATAGAAATAAAAAAATATAGCTTCCCAATCCCACTAACACTTTCCTCCCTGAGAAGCTCATAAGAGTTACTCAGTCCAGGATCAGGATAATTCATTTAACTGTTCAATGACGCAGCTGTTACAGTAGTCCATGAACATGGGTTTTCTGGGTTTCAGGAATATCTATTACGCTGTAATTAAATATTTTAGTGGAGAAAGTGGCCTTTTGTATTTGTGGCTATTGGTAGCTGTCAAAGCTGAGCATTGGTAATTATGGCTACTGGATCCTGTCAGGGGAATGCCAGTGGCGGCTGGCTAAGGAGGTCGTGCCCCGCCCCCACCCAGCTGCTTCCAGGTTGACCATCTCAGGGGAAGACCCCCCATTTTCAATGTTTGTATGGGTGTCAAGCACACACAGTGTTGCTGCCAGACCTAGACTCCTGCGAGCACTGCTGCATAATGCAGATTGTTGGAATGGTGTTGGCAGCCTGAAAAGCCATTGCTTGTGTTTCTGACACGACAGCGAAGCCTAGTGGTGAATCCAGCTCAGCTGCTGCTTGCAGGGTGGACATAGTCAAGGACACGGAGGCTCATTTTCCTCCTAGACTCTAAAGAAGGGCACAGAAAAGATGAGGAGGAGGATATTAACAAACATATCCTTGGAGATGAAAATTAGGTGGATGAGGAAGATTCCATTCTTTTTTCCCTACAACTATAGGCAGATCACACTACTCAGCCTTCCCAGGAAGGCCTGTGCTAGGGTACCAGAGAGGGGAGTCCATCCATTAGTTGAACCTCAGATTGAAGAACAAGTCATGGAATGCTAAACCAGCTCTTTGTCCTCTCTGGGCTGTTTGAGTGTGTATGGGAGTTTTTCCAACCACTTTACATGTGCTTTGTAGACTTGCAGAAAATAAGTCACCATGTTGAAGGATTCTGTGGTGGGTACTTTCGGAGTATTGGGTACCTGGCCCATTCTTATGAGCCTTTCGGTCCCTGCACAATCTCAGTGAGACCCTAGTTTGCATTACCAACAGTAAGTCATTTTTATGAGGCCATGGTTCTTAGCTGGAAAAGGGTTAGTGCCCAGGGATGAGTTGCAGCCCCAAGTGGAAGTGTTTAAGTTTCTTGGAGTGTTGTTCACAAATGAGGGGAACAAGAGAACTCTATGGATCCCAAAAAGTTGATTCTGTTCATCTGGGCATAGGATTTTCAGTGGGAGAAATGTTTCGTCACTCAACAAAGTGACTTCTTCAGTCTCAGCTGACTGCAGGTTTCCCCAATCGTATAAATAGTATATTGGGGAAGATTGGGGAAACCTGCACCCAGGACCCAGGAGAGGGAGGTCTGGGCTTCACTGCATCTTGGCCTTGGACTGGACTGGTTAGATCTACCTGAATGCAGGCAACCCCACAAATAGAAACTGAAGATGGCTGCATTAAAGGCCTGGCAGAGCATCTCAAGAGAGGAAACAGCATTTGGTCCATGTTTTTTAGAGTTCAGTCAGTCATTGACTGCAATGGATTCTCATC